TAGGGGGATTCAGAGTCACCAGATAGATCTGCATCACTGATTTGTCTGTGCAGTGACTAGAAACCAGGGGTACGGAGTTTAGAAGTGTATCCTCAGGAAAGACCAGCCTGCGCGACGCATGGCCATACCTGCAGCGAGCCAGTGGGTGTCATTGCCAAATGTACTGGAGGGCTGGCTCCTGTTTTCTCTTTTACTTCCTACCTTTCCCCCAGCGTTTGTGCTGCTCCCTCTGCTGTCACCCATCTCACCGACAACGCTCCCTCTCCAGCCACTGTCGCAGCTTTACTAGCTGATTGCATTTCAGATTCTTCTTTTGCCTTTCCAGCACATAAGCAACTATGCAGTATCTAACTACCAGCCTCAGTACTGATGCTCAGTACTGATCCATGGGTTTTTCTATACCAATGGAAGTGTTTTTCTATACTGTACCTGTGTGGACTTAATCACGCAGGCCAGCAGCCATATGAGACTCCTTGGGAGTAGAAAGTCTAACAGAATAAGCTCTGGTTTGCTGATCCCTGTACCACTGAATACATGCATTTTAAGAGGAACATGAACAGAGCTTGTCCTGGCTATAGGGCAGCCAGGGAGATGCAGCTGAACTTGCACGACAGTCGGCCTTCTTGGTAGATGCCTGGGCTAGCAGCCAGGGGACTCAGGTTTAATTTACAGTTCAGTCATCTATGTTTATTTCTCAGAAAATACATATTTAAAAAATTCTGAAATTAAAACATGGCTAAAACTCTCTACAGTAAACAGAGGTCTTTAAAGGAAAGAATGGCTGCCAGCTTTGCTTTTTGTTCAAGCTGTAACAGATTTGAAGTTTATTTTATACCCAAGGCTTAAAATGATGCTTGAGACAGTTCTTCAAAAGGAGCTGCACATCTGTGGAAGCACTCGCTGAATACTTCAGATAATGCTAAATCTGGGTCGGATGCCCCAGAGATCAAGTCAAAGAGAGAAGTGATTGTTTTGCTTTTGCCCCCCCCCCCCCCCCCCCCCCCCTTAAAATGGGTGACATTTCAGCTGCAGACACATTATCAGTAGCCTGAGATCAGAATAGCTGTCAAGTACTTTCAATTTGGAATAAAAAACAAACAAGCAATAGAGGTCATGAGTTAAAAATGTAGGACATGCTGTTAAGGTTCTCAGACCTCGTTGTTCTCCCACAGAGAGGAAGCTGTAATATCTCTCCGTATAATTTGTATATCATGGTGGTGAAGGAAGCTCTAACACAGACCAACCACTACTCCAGAGAATGCTTCTGCTGTGTAATTACTTGAAAAATGAAACTCTGTAGGACAGGGAGGTTAACAGGACAGACTGATTTTTCTCAGGGTTCTCATATCTATGTCTTCAGCAGAGCCTGTATGAAACCAGTGTGTCCCCACCCTCACAAGATGGGAACAAAATGGCTTCATGCTGTTGAGTCTCCTGTGTTGTGCAGTGCAGGACATCCTGGTGCAGCAGGGCAAATTGCATTTTGCAGTTTAGGGGTCTAGATTTTCTTTTCAAAACTCCAGAGGTCTTAGGCAATAAAGTGAGTCAAATTTACTGAATTTTGCCTTAGTGATAATTGCCTCTTAAAGAGGCTTTTGTTAGGAATGACAGAGGGTTTTGTTAGTGCTGAAATGGCTTGTGGAGAGGGAGCCTCTCCACCAGAGTTTGGCTGAATGTAAAGTCCATTAAGTCTTCTGCTCGTCTTAATCACCCAGTGTTATTCTGTAGATGAGTCCTGAGGATTTACATCTCCTAAAGCATGACTGATGTCTCCAACACTACCTTCTGACCTAACAAATCTCAGTCCTCACACTCTGAGCTCCTTTCTTTGAGGGCTCTGGAAGACTGCAGGTGTTCATATCCCATCCCGACGCCTTGTAAACACTCAGAAACACTTTCTTTTTTTTTTTTTTTTTTTTTTTTAACCCCCCCTATCTTACTCCTCCTGATCTCAGTGTTAGGAATCAAGGGATATGGTAACCTATTCCAAGCAGCCCTTGCAGGTGTTGTCTTCAATGTAAGAAATCCCTTTCCTGTCTTTCAGTGGACAAACTTCACCCTGTCAAGAAGTGTTTCAGGACTGTCTTTTGTATAATTCCCTGTTCTGACAGCCAAGCAAGACTTTGCAGATCTTCATGAAAATCATTTTCCTTCTGTTCATAAACTATGAATGAAGATACAACTCAAGCCCCCCACAGATCTTGCACAGGTCTTGCATGGTTCCATCACAATCTTTTAAGGTGTATCAGACAAGAAACACCAAGTACCACTAGCAGTGTGAAAACTTGCCATAGCCTGCCAAAAGTGAGCTGATTGTCTAAATGTCCCAAACACATACATATCTCACTGCAGGTGGACTCCAATGAGCTTCCCAATTCTGTCAGGTCCTGAAGGGAGCTGAGGGCTAGTCAGCACACTTTACCCTGCTGTAGAGCCTAGATGAGCTTTGGTGACCTGAGGTTTGTAGTGGAGATCACTGAGCTCAGTTCCAGAGTTCACTGCGTATTCTTTCCATATCCTTTCCCTGGCTCCCAGAAACAGTGGAGGGATGGTTTGCTTTCTCTTAAAGCCCTTTATTCCACCAGTCCTCTGTGCATATGCAATAGTTTACAGAAGCGGGTTTAAGGAGGCCGGCTAACTAGGGTAGGTGAGCAGTAGCAGTGTCTTGCCTGGGATGGAGAGAGTGTAGGGAGCTCCCTCTATTGATTTTCCAGATCTTAGGAGAATGGTTGGGTTCTCCATGTCCTTCACAGGGGACAAGCGTGAAGCTTTGTGTGAATTCCCTGCTAATGATATTCACTCAGTGTAATGGCTTCTTAGGCATTGGGATGCACTCATACCACCCAATTATTGGCATCTTGAAGTCAGGTGTCTGATCTAGTTTCTTGGCCTCAGTGGAGAGAAATGGGTATCTCCAGGTTGATTCATTCAAGCTCTTAGGCCTTTATCTTATAATAAGTTGCCCTTGGAAGGTGACCATCACTCTGTATTGGTTGTAGGCTGGATGTGGAGCTTTTGGACAGTCAGATAGGGTGGGTCCCACAGCAGATAACTTTTTCTGACTGACCTCTTAAGAAAGAATATTTCTTGACTTTTTGTTTTCTTTCTTTTCTTTTTCTCTAACATGAAAGAAAAATCTGCTTGCAGTAACACACTGTGATAACTTAAGGACTACGCAGTCAATATGTTCAAATGTTTATTTAGAAACTATGGTCCTGCTCAGTTTAGTTGTCTGCCTCGCTCATTAAACTACAATGTTTCATTTCTCTTAGTCTTTCTGTGTTTTTGCTTCTCGTAGTCTTCCTGTAGTTTTGCTATAAACTATTTAATAGTTTTAGAATTCTGCTTATCACCTCTGTTTGCAGGGTCTATCACTCATCTGGAAACGTAAAAACTACACTGTTAGCCCACAACTTCAGATGTCAACTCTGAGTCAAATAAGTTTTTTTCTGGATACAGGTCAGGCAGAAAGAGATTCGTTACCTTGCAAGAATAAAAAGAGAAGGTAAAAAGAGTATGATGTGCTCAGAAACTATGGGAATAGGGAACCAGGTAAGTGCTTGCGGAGAGAAAGAAGTGAAACATTTGCTATGACAATGGAGGAACTGCTGCTGTACTGCAATAGCAAAGCAAGTAACAAATATTCCATTAAAGAATGAGCTATTATTGCTGATGGACATACCATAAAAAAGATTGCAGCCTTGCTGGAGAGAACTGAGTTGTGCCTGATGCTGTGAGACACAACATCTCACAGGCAACAGGGAATATTCCCTATAGTAGGGAGTATTAGGGAATAGGGAGAAAGCACCACCTTACATGGAGTTGGAGGCCACATCTTAGTGGGGATGAGTGAGGAGGGGTGGGAGATGCTTTGATTTTGAAGTGTGCTTTCCTCTCCTCCTCACCGCAATCCTGGTGAAGGACACCATCCTGCTTTTCCGGCGGGTGCGCTCCAAAGCCGCCCCTGTTTGTCAGGGCTGCTGGGGAGGGCACAGGCTTTGTTCGATTTACCAGTGGGCAGCCCTGTGTTTATGATGGGAGTCTTGGCTTGTAGGAAAAATAGGTAGCGACCTGTGGAAGTGACTGTGGTTTTCAAAGACATTCTTACACACTTAATAGAGACAGCATTAGAACAACAGCTGATGCTCAGACAGTGAATAACTAGGTTACATCAGGATCCTTGTGTCAGGGCCCTGAGGGCACCCACAGCCCTGACCGCCCCTGCCCACCCGCCGGGGCTGCCCGCACCCTGCCCAGGACCCCACGTCAGCCCCTGGGGCCTCAATCCCTGCCCCAGAGATACCACAGCAGGGCCGGGCTCCAGCTTCC